CCATCCAAAAATGACAGTATAGAAAGGTTGGGGGGGGTTGCGGGGAAGAAGAGTGACTTTACAAGAGGGAAACCTGACTGCCTCTACCTCAGCCAGGTGATCAAGGATAACACCTTTATGTTCCCTTCATATGATGTAATGAGAACTGCACTTTACCTCTGTCTTCCTTCCCAAAACTCATGACCCAATCTAATCATGAGAAATACATCAAACAAATCCTCGTTGAAGGACAGTCTCTGAAATACCTGGCCAGTATTCCTCTAACCTATCACGGTAATCAAAAACAAGGAAAGTCTGAGAAACTACAGCCAAGAGGACCCTAAGGAAGTAGGTTGACTATGATATGTTATCCTAAATAGGATCCTAGAACAGAAAAATACATTAAGTAAAAACCAAGGAAATCTGGATAAACTATGGACTTCAGTTACTAATGTACAAATCTTGGTTCATTACTTGTGACAGATGTACCAAACTGATGTTAGATGTTAATAAAGGAGGAAACCAGCTAAAGGTATATGCATTTCTCAGGACTATTCTTGCAGCTTTTTTATAAATCTAAAACTATTCTAAAATAAAATGTTTATCCTGGGTTCCAGCACCAAAAGAATAAGAAATAACAAGGTAAAATAAAACATTTATTTAAAAGATGAGGGGAAGAGAATCTTAAGACATATCACAATAGGTAATGAATTCTATCATCTCTAATATTCTTTAGAAAATAGATATAAGAAGTAGAATTCATTTTAAGTACATTTTCATGTTGAACAATTTTTTTAAATTCACTACAGCTCGAAAGCTGGGTTTCTTAGGTCCTGAGATCTACTCAGGTTCTGATATCAGCACACTGAAACTTTGGAAAACACAAGAAGACTTTCTCTTGGGAATGTTCTGGAAGCCTCACCCAGGCCAGAAGCCAGTCAACCATCAGGATAGAATGGCAAGACAGTTGACTGAAGCCCCTTCCAGAGATGACTTGTTAGTCCCCAAGTGAGCCTGGAATCCCTTAAAAGAGGGGCCATTCCAATGGCTCTCTTGGCTGATATATGCCTAACCTTTGTTTAAAATCCAACTATAGAAAAAAATCATTTTTTTATTTGAGCTCACAAGGGCCTGGGAATTGGAACATCTATGGATGATGGTGGGGTCCCTTACCCACATGTCCAGACTGTTTGGGCATTTTCCAAATCCACAGCAGTGCCAACAACTTACTCTTTTACTGGGGAGCAAGCAGGCTGTGCAACCAAGACATAGCAGGCCTGAGACTACTATCCTTGAAAAGCCTACTGGTAAGGTAAGCTCCTGGCTGGTGTCCAGGAGCTTGGATTTTGGGGGTGCTCCTGGCATTCCCATAATTGAGAAGAGTGTACCTAAACTATTCATACAAACAGGAGGGTTCACACTGAACCCCTGTTGCCTTCTGAGAGTCTGGTATTTGGGCACGTGCTAGACAGAAAGAAGGTGCCACGTGATTGGTCCCCAGTAAAAACCTGAGTCTCTAACAAGCGCTGGCCAACAACATTTCACATGTGTTGTCACAACTTCTTGCCCGAGGAATTAAGCTTGCCCTGTGTGACTACCCTAGGACAGGACTCCAGGAAGCTTGGTCCTACTTTCCTCTGGACATGATGCCATGTGCTTTTTCTCTTTGCCTTTTTCCTTTTGTATCCTCTAGCTGTAATAAACTATAACCATAAATACAACTGTAAGATGAATTCTGTGAGTCGTCTTAAATCATCAGATCTGGAGATGGTCTTGGGGATCCCCTACACAAAGTTATCCTTGTCTATAAAATTAGCATAAAGATTTTTCCTGATTCAAAACTTTATGGGGAGGGGGCAGAAGATAGTATGATTACTCCACTTGGTCACTGAGCAAACAAGCACAGAAGACAGGCAACATGAGTGAGGTCTCGTAATGAAGATGAGCAGAGCTGGCACCAGAACTCATGTTTGTCTGTTTACACACCCCAGCTCCTTCTGTCTGTGACAATGCACCAGTCTTATTGCTAAAGGTTAGGAATGTCTCCCCTCTGTCCACCCTCGACTTTCTTCCCCTTAACTCTGTGAACCTGTCTGGCAGGTCTGACAGCACCAAGTGGTGAAATGGGAGGGAGGCATCAATTCCAGTCAACCCCCCACTTTTCCACAGATAACCTCTCCAGCCCTCACCCTGGGTCCAGCCTGGCCACAGCCTTCATTATCTTTCCCTCCCTACACCCACCACCACCTAACTCAAATCCTGTTTCAGCTCTATTCATCATCAACTTCATCCTCTTTTATTTTCTGAACACCTCCTATGTGCCAGAAACAAAAGTGACACCCACAGGCCCTGGCCACATGGGACTGCTCCCTAACTCATTCAATGAGGAAGTACTCAGAGTGCCCTCAATGGGTCAGGGACTGCAGGAGACACAGCATGAACCACCAACCAGGTGCAAGGAGAGACAGTACATGGAAGACACTTTCATTCTGTTCTACCTCTGAGATTTTGCAGCTTCTTCTCTTTCCTCCAGTTCGGATCTCTAGGTCTGAAATTCCAAAAGCAATAGATCTGGTTATATTTTCCTCTCCTTGTTTCCATTCCCCCACCCCACCGATTGTAAGGCAGTCACAAGCAAGAATTCTACCATACTTACCTGTGTCCATATGCCCAGCCTTTATCCCAGACACAGTCTGTTTAGCAAATGCTTGCACACCTTGCAAGGGTAATCGAGTTTTACTGATTCTACATTGTTGCTCATTTAGTAGTTCCCAAGCCCAAATAACACAGAAAATTATATTATGCATTTGTGGGTAAATGTGTCTCTGTAAGGTTCAGCAAATGACCTTTGTGAAGTGGGAAGGACAAGAGATCTGGGATCTATGGATCTAACATATTTTCTCATTTTATGTTTACCATTTTTCATCCAATCTGAAAATGTCATCAATGATTAAGCACATCATTTTATGTATCATTTACAAAGAAAAACACCACCCCAATTGTCACTGTAGGATGCATTCTAATTTCAGAAATTTAAAGATTTCAGCTATTGGAAGCAACGAACATAGTATCTTTTAAGTTGTGAATAAAAGTAAAAGGAGGAGGAAAATGAAGTCTTACCCACCAAAAGAAAACTACTGTTATTGGCACTTGGGGATTTTTCAGTATTTTTCTATGACATTTTTACAGTTATGGACCTTATATAGGGTACATTTAATACATTGATGTACTAAATATGTACACTTACAAGTATTTGCAGATGTATACATTGATATCATACATTTCTACATAGTTTAATACATTTATGTACCAAATATGTACACTTACAAGTATTTGCAAATGTATACATTTATATCATACATTTCTAAATAGTTGTATTTTCATTTTTATTATACAATTCATAAAGTTTGGGATACACCGTCCCAAAGCTTCCTTCCATTTCCCCACATCCTTTCTTTGAAGTAACCACTCTCAGCAGCTTGGTATGCATCCTTCCAATTATACACATACACACACACACACGCACACATGTATCAGCTTGGACTTTTACACACAGATGGAATCATAGTGAGTTAGTACAAATATATCTACCTCCCTCTCCTTAATAACATCATAGCATTCTGTAGTATGGAATATGCAATTTTTTAGTTTCTTCATTAACTGATATTTAGGAATATTTTATTGCTAGATGCATTGCATGAGCATCCTTACACACGCATATTTGTGCATGTGCATATTTCCTAAAAGTAAAAACAAGAAAAACAGTTTATAAACAAATACAAACAGTATGCTACAGAATAGGAGGCTTTGTAGCACAGTTGTCTGATGTGTGGCTAGAGTCCTACTGCTTGGGTCTATATCCTGGCACCGTCCTTTGCAATCTGTGTGATCACCGGCAAATTGTGCTACCGTTCAGCTTTCTCACTTGTGAATTGAGGCTCCTAATAGGACTTATACACAGGGCTATTGTGAGGATTTAAGGGAGTAGTATGAGTGAAATACTTAAAACAGTGCCTTCCACTCAACAAATGTCAGCTATGGTTGCATCGGTATAAAAAAAAAGAATACAGTATTTTGTTGAGTGAAGCATACACACATACCAAAGTTTAAAAACATATAGGAAAATGACAATTGCCAAATTCAGAATAATCATTCCTTCTGTGGGATAGGGAGAGGAAGGAGATTAGGGAAAAGAAGAAAAGTGATTCAACTACATTTATAGTACTTTATTTCTTAAGCTGGGTGGTAGCCTCATGTTTTTCTTAATATTTCATATTAAACACTTAAAGAAAATCAATGAGATGGGAGTGGGATTGTATTTCTGTAGAAACCAAGGACCCTCCCGAATTAGTTTCGTGTGATTTGGGGTTCGAGGCACAGAGGATCCAAAGGGAGGGATTCTGGAGCCACCCAGACTGGCTCCTTCCCACCACTGAGATCTCGGTTCAAATACACATTCCTCAAAGCCTTGCGGGTCGCCCACTGTAAAGCACACCCCGTCTGCTCTCTAACACACTGCGCTATTCCAATAGTCTTAACCGCTCTCGACCGTTTTATTATTATTTTACTTGGTAATTGTCCGTCTCCCCCAACTGGAAGGCTCTGTCTTGGTGAACACCATATTCCTCAAACCATTTTAAGTCCTCAGTTATTCTTTTGTCTTTGGGATGTGTGGATTAATGAGTGAATGAGTGGAGACCCTTTCGTAGGACGCCTCTTTTTAGACGGACTGCAAGGCAGAGGTAGAATGATGAAAGCCTGAGAGGGGGAGTGAAGAGCGAAGTGGGTTGAGGAAGAGGCGAATGAAGATTTGGATTTGAGAAACTGAGCGACGTTGCGGAGGCTGAGAAAGGTTTCTAAGAATGAAGAAACGTGAGCTGAAGATGAGCGGAGGAGCAGAATGGAATCCCGGGTGAACGTACTGAGGACTAGGCCTCCACCGATGGGGCGGGGCCTGTGGAGAGAGGAGGGACCGAGGCCCTGAGTGGGCGGTCCCTGGAGGAGGGGCGGGGCCTGGAGGAGGGGCGTGGGGTGGCGGTGGCGGCGGGGAAGATGGCTGCGGCTGAGGCTGCGGACACTCAGCTGATGCTCGGAGTCGGTCTGATCGGTGAGGATGCAGGCGTTGTCTCCCGCAGGCCCGCACCCTGCTTCCGCCTCCGCCGGGGCCCGGGGCAGCCCCTGCTCCCGCGCGCCCGGCGCGGCCGCGGTGGGAGAGCGCGGCCCTTCCATGTTCGGCCTGGGCGAGGGGCTGTGGGGCCCGGCCTCCTCCGCGCCGGGATCGGGCCAGCAGCTTTGGGCGCCCTGCCCGCGGCCTTGCGTGGAGCCCGCTCTGGCCGGGCGGCGGGGCGGCGGGGTGGCGGAATCCCCGGAACCTCCCAAGTCCCGGGAGCGAGCTCCTCCCGGATGCCCGGAGCTGCAGACAAAACCGGACGAGGAGGGGCCCGAGCTCCGGCGGCCGTGAGGGGCCGTCGCCCGGCCAGCCGAGGCTGCACGGAGGGCCGCTCCGGGATCGTTCGGCTGGGAGGCGACAGGGTGGGGCCCCTCGGGGTGTGCGGGAGCGGCGCGTGAGGACCCGCCAGGCGCCGGGCTTGCCCCGATCATGTGATCGAGCAGTCCGAGCATGGTGGCCAGCTGTGCCGGCCTGGGTGCTGCTCATTGTGCATGGATCGCCTCCCGTTTAGCCCCTACCAGGGCTTCAGGGGTGTGCGTGATGTTTGATGCCCACTTTACGGAGGGGCAGATGTAGACTTGGTGTCATTTGTGCTCTGACGCACGCTAGGAAGTGGCGGAGCCAGTTTTGGGACCCTTTCTTTCTAGCCCCAAAGCGTCAACTCGTATCAGTGGGGGACTCCTGCATCACACGATAGAACACATGTCTGTAACAGGAGTGTCTGCACAGTCACAGTGGGGGGATCCCTGTTCGTTTAGAGGAGTTCACAGATGAGGAAGTCTGTTGGGATCACTGGGCAGCCCCGAATGTGCGCCTGAGCCGTGTGCAGTGTTGCAGGGTTGGGGCTTTCAAGGAACCGTTCATCCGGTAGGCGACAGGGAGCGCGGGGTTGCGAGAATGAACAGCTGCCGGTTCTCTGCGCGCCATAGTCCTTTGAAAAAGTATTCTTACGTTGAGGTTTTTACAACCCCCTAAAAGCTCTATTCCCCTAGTGTACAAGAGCGTTACTTGGGTTTAGCAAAACTGGCGAAATGTGCTGATTATTTTTCAGTGTCTTAAAGAAGTGCATTTATCTGGGAACTGCTTTCTGTATTCATTTCTAATGTGATTTTTAAACTGCTGCAAAACAAAACCTAAATACCTCAGGCATCTTAGTCCTGCTTGAAGGTACTTCTGAATTAAGGCTGAGTTAAACTCTGACTTTACCTGGTAACAGCAAAGACAAAACAGGTTTTCAATTCAGCAGGTTTTTTACTTTTTATATTGGCATGTGTTTAAAAGGGATCTGCTTCAAAATAAAGGGAGGAATGCTAACTCTCCCTCATGAAGCAAGGAGGGCTTGGTGTTGATAATTGCTGAAGCTAATCAATGAAGATGGGAAATTCATATTATTATTCTTTTTTTATATAGTTGGTATTTTCCATAATAAAAGGTTTGTTTTTTTTTTGAGTTTGTAGATCAAAACCTGTATTCTTACTGCTCTATGTGCAGTAACTGTTTCTCTATAGTTTAGGCTACTTTTGCCTGGAGTTTCTTTATTATTAGCAAACTGCTCCTATTTTGTTATTGAGGTGTTGACTTTGACGATGAAATTACATGACTGGATAACCTTAAAATTTTAAATATAGAATTTGCACAATCAGTACATAATGTGATTTAAAAGAGATTACACCATTTTCTTGATCTCCAGTTTTGCTTTCAACAACCACTTTCTATGTACTTACTAAAGATTTGTCTAGATACAGATGTAAAGTAAGAACACTTTTGAGAATTTGTGTGGGAGGAGATAGGGAAGACTTCTACCAAACCTATGAGGCTAAACTTTCATTCATGATTTATTATAAAAGCTTTTTACTCAGTTGGCCTAACGCTCAAGATAAGATCTAGATAATTTGACCAGCAGAGGTAAGTAGGAATTTAGGGTCCCATGTGCTTTGCGTCGTTTTGTAAAATGGGATATTAAAACTGATTCCATTTAGTGCTTTTGAGTAACCAATCAATTTACTTCCTTGCTGCTGTTTGACATTCTCACAGTGACCATCTTTCCACCGTAGAAAAGGACACAAATGGAGAAGTTCTGTGGGTGTGGTGCTATCCTTCCACAACAGCTACTTTAAGGAAACTGCTGCTGAGAAAATGCTGCCTTACAGATGAAAACAAACTTCTCCACCCCTTCGTCTTTGGTCAGTACAGAAGAACATGGTTTTATATCACAACAATTGAAGTTCCAGATTCTTCAGTCTTGAAAAAGGTATGACTACACAAAGGTAAAAAAAAAAACCCAAAAACACAGTGATGTAACATTATTCCAATAACTCTTAGCTTTAGACTTTATCATCACTGTATGCTTTTAAAAATATTAAATACGATTTTCTTGGGAATGTTTCACTTTCATTCATTCTGTATTTATTGGTGTATATTATGTGACTGACTCTCTGGTTGGTGTAGTGAAGCCTTTTCCAGGTTTTACACTGATGGAGTAGAAGTGTAGAAGTAGTGTCAAAGTCATGACTCTGATTAAGAGTAGAAAGAAATATTTTTCCATAATTGAAAACTATTTCAAAGGATATAGTTATTTTTGGCATAGTTAAGAAAACTTTTTTTCCCATTTGTTTGTGGATGGTAAGGATAGAAGGATAGAAAGGGAAATTAAACTCATGTATTCAGTAGCCTTTTGCTGTTTCATTTTATATGAACAGGATCAATGTGGCATTTTGAAAACCTGTATATGGTCATTGTGGACTTTCCTAATCCCGGACAACCAGCAGGTTTTTTCAAAGAAAACAATATCAGAAAGAAGCAGCTGTGGTCCTGGCACTTCTTTTATCATTTATGGCTAATTTTGTAGCCAATAACCAGACTGTCTGAAGCATGTCCAAGATACCAGATTAAATTTAAAGAATTACTTTAAAATAACAGGAAAGCAACAATTTAGAAACGTTAGAGGTTTAAGACAGAACAGATTCATAATTAGAAAATGTAAATTTGCAAAAAGATAGCTTTCAATAAACCTTGTTATAAAGTCTTTAGTTTGTGCTCATTTAATTCTTGCTGAAAAACCTTGACATACCCTCAAGTGGATTTATCCATGTTTTGTACGACAGACTGCCAAATCATGTTTATTTCAAATCTCTGTTTTTCAAATTTAGATTTAGAGATAGTTCTTGTATTTCAAAATATGACTTTAAAAAGATATATTTCTTAAATGCTTTGTTATTAACAAAAGTTCTGAATTTTGTCTCAGTGGAAATAATAGGTACATGGTTATCAGAAATTTGTAGTAATTGAGGCATGTACACAAATAAAGTTTATTATAACATCCTTTAGATTATATAGCATTCTATAGAGATTTGGCTCTTTCAGGAACTGTATGATTTATTTGTACTGTTTGGATTTTACTGAAATGTATTTTTGTTGTTTTTCATTCTTTGATTTCATTAATGAAAAATAGTTGCTAAATTGGTGGGTCTGCTATAGCATTCCCAGTCCTGCTGTGATGAGTGAGGGTCAGGGACTTGAAGTAAAAATTCACATTTTTGATATTTAAAATACTTTTGCATTTTTGAAAAAGAATTGTAACTAAGTTCTATACACTCTTATGTAGGAAATTAAATATGCATGTATTATAAATATATGTCCTTTAATATGTGTGTATATACACATAAAAGTATTAAAAAGCCAAGTGAGGACTGTGTTACATTTTGGTCTTTTCCTTTTAATGCTGGTATATCTTGTACAAGAGGTTCATTAGAATATACTAATAAAATTAATTCTATTAAATAATCTTTAAAAAGTGTACCTTTTTTCTTTTGGACAGGTGACTCATTTTTCTATTGTACTGACTGCCAAAGATTTTAACCCAGAGAAATATGCCGCCTTCACTAGGATATTGTGTAGGTCTGTATGAAAATTATTAAATTCTAATGTATAAAAAGGAAGATCTTACTCAATAGTTACAGAGCAGATTTCTACACCAAGGAAGCAAATTTCAGCCCTCTGTCTCCCCAGCTTAACCTTGACTGGCCCTTCAGAGACTGTTGGTAAAGAGGAACTTTTTCTGCTGCTTCAATGATACTGCTCCTCCTATTTAAGGGAATAGTCGGGTGGGGGAGAAAAAGCAGTTTGTACAGCTATTGGAGCTCCTGGAGATTTTGAATCACTTGCCATTTTTGGTCTGTTTTTCTGCTCACTTCCAATCTAGAACTTTCTTGAGCAAGATGGATACGTTAAGTCTTTATTAAATAGTAAGCTGGTTCATATGTGTGAAGGTGTGTGTGTGGAAGTCATTTTGGAGAGAGCCATTTTAGTATTTCGAATTAGGCTAAAGCACAGGAAAATACTTGTTAGCCGCAATGCTGAGGGGCTGAGAAACTGATTAATTGGTTAATCACGATTCAAGTAGACTCCTTTAGGTTCATCCTCGCTGTTGAAAAATTTTTTCTAAATAATACCAGTCTATTTTCTTGCCTGATAAGTATATCTAGTGAATTAATAAAGTCTAAATATTATAGACATTGGCTTTTTCTTTAATTAAGGCTTTTACAGGGTTTTAAGTTATACTTTGTTTTTAATATTGTCACTAAATAGAAAATTGTAATTGTAGGTGTCATGTATTGCCCACAGGCTTATGCCAAATAAGTAGTTTTTTGGGGGGAACAAGGGGAGTTGTTTTTTCCTCACTATAAACCTGGTAAATGGCTGTTCTTTTGCCAGTTTTACACACACACACACACACACACACACACTCACACTCACACTCACAATATGGCCTAAGAATACCTTTTCATTACTTACAGGTTTCAGTTAGGTTGTATTTTGACAAAATGAAGTTATACTATTTTTGCAGCCAGCTATGATGATAAAGACTTCTTGCTCTCAAGATAAATTCCAGGTGTATGGCCCACTGTGTGATATAAACAGTTATCTGCTAATAATGGCACTGACACAAAAGGAGATGCTTATTGCTGGGAGAAGGGACACTATCTAGACACTGTGAACTGAAAACACTGCAAAGGGTGTCCTGAACAAACACTGGACTCCCATTTCACTTGATTGAGTCAGGGTTAGGTTACTCCACTGAATTCATTGGGAAACATTCTGGGGCCTGGAAGGCAGGGTTGCTTTAGATTCCACTTCCTGCCCAAGAGGGAGCCCAGAGGGCTTCTCAGCTTCTGTAGGGCTCAGCATTGTTCCATTCTACATTCTCTTCTCTCACAGTGGAGGAGATAAGAAGACTCAGAGCCATTGCCAGCCACCTCCTCTGCCCCCTATCCCTTGCCACACTTCCATGTTTGCCCTTGCACATGTACACCTCCACTTGTGTGCACACCAGGCACACACTCTCCCCATGAACTTGGGTCTGAGTTCACCTAGATAGACACTTTTGGGGATGATGAGGTTACCGTGGAAGTGTTCCTTCCGTTTATGGTGAGAGAAGCAGGCAGACGTGCCTTCCAGTGTGTTGCTTGTGTTGGCAGTGGAAGCCTGCATGGAGTGGTTCAATCCCTATGTGGGGTTCAGGTCAGCTGCCATGACCCCCTTCATCTCCCAGTCCCTCCAGCTAGTGGCCCTGGTAGAGAACCAGGGTGTCATGCACTCGTGGAGTCAGGTGTCCAGGCCAGGTGTGACATCTGTGGGTATCCATCTGAACAATGAATAAGGTCCACTGGGCTGCACTTTGTGGGTTTCCCATGGGTGGTGCTGGGGATTCCTCCCTCTGTTCAGCCTCTCGTGCATGGCCCAGGGTTGTCACACAGGGTGTCATCTTATCCTCCTACCCTTCTTAGGTTTCTCTTCTCCATTACTTTAAGTGGTTTCTATTTTATAATTTAATGGCAATTTTTGTTTGGTTTTGTTTTTTTTAGTGGTGGTAATGTAAGCTCATAGTAAAAGAAACCAGACACCCAAGGGGTATACAGTGAAAACTGAGCTCCTCCCTTCCCCAGTTCCCAGCCTGCACTCTGTCTGCTGACCCCACCCCAGGGCAGCTCCTGGCCCTGTTTTTTTCATAGCCTGCCTGAGACAATTTCTCCGTATGTAAGTTTGTGTATGAGTTCATGGGTTTGGCTGTATCTTGTATATTCGATAGCTTACCATATTTACTGTTCTGTACCTTTTTTTCCCTCAATTTGTGTTGAGAAAAAGAATTAAAAAACAGTGATGATTGACAAAATTTGGTAAGCAGTTCAGACATTCACTTTTTACTTAATTTACAATAATTATAATTTTCAAATGCTCTCTCTTGAACAATTACTTTCTTCCCAATTTTCCATCCCTTCAGCTACCAAAAGACACAAGTAGTCACAGTCCTGCTTCTCAAGCAAACTTGAGATCTAGTTCCTCACAGGAAGATTTGAGGGGAACAGATTGATTTCACATGTGAGCTATAAATGTTGCTAGTTCCCTGTCAGCATTTTCTGGAAGTCTTAATTTAGTGATGCATTTATCACCAGAAACTTAAAAGAGTTGATTTCTTAATTATCTAAATACAGCAACCTCTAGGAACACCGATAATAAATACAGGCTCTGAGCTAATTACTGCTTTCTTTGTGAACAATGCATAAAACACCTCTCTTGTCAAAGGAAATCCCAGCAATAAACAGAGTTGTTATGACTAAACACCAGTTGTGAATGTAAGACAAAACAAGATCAGTATACAACATGCTTGAGAGTAATGGGGTCTCTGCGTAGTTCATTCTCCTGCCCCAGCAGACTATAGCAGCCTTACCCACATGTAAGGAGAGAGCCAACTTCAAAGAATTATTGAAGGTCTTCCAAGTAGTTTTTTTTATGTGTATACATTTTGAAATTAAATGGTAGAAGTAACCACAACACGAAAAGATTCAGGCACTCAAAAACATACTAGCAAGTTGGCTTAGATTCTTTAGAAAGTATCCATGCTTAGCCTTGGTGCATTTCTGCCTGTGGTTCATGCTACATAAAAGCACGTTTGCCTTTGTCCTGTCTTCCAGAATATACCTGAAACACGGGAGCCCAGTTAAAATGATGGAGAGCTACATCGCAGTTCTCACAAAAGGGATATGCCAGAGTGAAGAAAATGGCTCTTTCCTTAGCAAGGACTTTGATGCCCGAAAAGCATACCTTGCAGGCTCCATCAAAGGTAAAAAAAAAAAAAGGGTGAGGGGGGCAAAAAAAGGGGAGAAACAAAAACCCATTCCAGATGGTCCCATCCCATCTTCCACAACAAAATCCCCAAGCCAAGGACAAAGTATCCATAAAGGATACTTAATGTTATTTCATCTTCCTATATATTTTCATCTATACAGTATTTGTTTACCTACAGGAGGGTAGTTCAACTTCTACATTTCCATACTTGGTTAGAGACTTGTCATAGGGAAGCAGATTTTGGTGGTGTGATTTTTTCCTTTGCATAGGATTCCAATTGTTACTGTAGAAATACCCTATCACCGGTAAGCTGACTCTCACGGTTCAAGGTCCCCACTCACTTCATAGTTTTTCTTTCCTTAGATCTCAGCAGTTCTCTTCCACCCGGAGAGCTCTTGCCTCCGGCCCTGAGTTCCTAACATGACTCCCTGCCTTTCTCTCCTATCTGGGAATCCAAACTGGCAGAGACAGCCCAGGGCTAAACACAGACTTCTGTGTCCTTGTGAGAGAGGGGGCGACTTCAGGGGGGACGCTGGCCTTCATTCTTGTCCTTCCTTTGCTTCTGATCCCACTGTCATGTATGGTTTCAGAGCATTCCTGTTGAGGCATTAGATGTTCATCTGACTGTCTCAAAAGGACTTAAGTAATGATGTGAGGAGGGCGGGTCAGTGAACATTTTTTAAAACTTTAATTTTAACGACACAGAAGGATGCTAGTTCCCTTTATATCATTTATTCCACTCTTGTGAGTCTGGCTTCACCTGATGCCTCTGGCACAGAGACCTCGGGAGGCAGGCGTAGGCTTCTGTAACACCCCTCCTGGGGAGCCCCTGGATGCACTGATATCCACCAAATAAGGTGCTTCTGTACTTACATTTACCTAGATTTATTCTCTATATTGAAAATTTTGCATTCTATGACAAGAATTATATCCTATAAAAACTATTTATTTATATAATATGTAATGCAGTAACATTATTATTTCTTTTGTTTTAAGACATTGTATCTCAGTTTGGAATGGAAACTGTCATCTTACACACAGCACTGATGCTGAAGAAAAGAATCATCGTCTATCACCCCAGAATAGAAGCCGTGCAGGAGTTCACCAGGTATTGTCTCTAATCACTAAAAAGCATAAACTTTGTGGGCAGCCAGTTTGGGCACTCAGGGTTACTGTGTGCTCTGTTGTGTTGCGCATTTGGTATAAATAGAATGTGTTAGGCTGGGGGTGAAATGCCATTTTGGTGTAGTGTTTCAGTTTAGATTGAGTAGTTCAAGGTCACTGAACTTGGACAAATTCCTCTTTAAATTTAGAAATAACAATATTTTAGAGCAGGGAGTGTGCAAGTTTTTCCTTGCCAGAGAGTAAATATTTTAGGCTTGCTGGCCGTATGGTCTCTGTCCCAAATACTCAATTGCCACGGGTAGTGTAAAAGCAGTCAAAGACAGTACATGCACGTAAATGAATAAGCATGGCTGTGTTCCAGTAAAACTTTATGTACAGTGACAGGCAGCTGGCCTATGGGGCATAGTTTCCTGAACCCTGTTTTACATTTTGATGCTACAGATCTTCATAAGAGTATATATCAATGATACCATAAGTTGTTTCTTCAATTTTACTATACTCCTTTTATTTTTATAGTAAATACAGATCTTTTAAGTTTTTTTCTTTGGCCAAATCTAACTGGCTCTTAGATTTCTTTTTAAAAGCAGGGAGAACTGCATTTATGCTGTGTTTACTGGGTGCCAAGCGCCTTAATTTATTAAACTTACTCATGACAAGAACCCTGCAAGGAAGTATAACTAGCCTATTTTATAGGTTAGAAAATTGAGGCTCAGGGAGGCTAAATGGTTAGATAATGGAAAGAAGAAAAGCTTGATAGCTAGAAAGATCTGTGTTTAAATTCGTGGGAGGGCCACTTACTAGCTCTGTGGTCACATAAAGGATCCTTAATGTTTCTAAGCCTGCCTTTCTCTTTCTGTAAAATGAAGATAATCATACGTAAGAAGCTACTAGCTCTGTGGTCACATAAAGGATCCTTAATGTTTCTAAGCCTCCGTTTCTTTATTTGTAAAATGAAGATAATACATCATAAGCTTGTTTTTAGGATTGGAAACAATTTGTGTTAAAGTGCTTAGCATGTACCTTGCTCATAGTGTGCACTCTAGAAATGATTACTGTTTTGTGATTGCCTCAGATTGTAGGTGAGAGGACCAAAATTTTTACCCTGCTCTGTTTCCAAAACCCTGTATTTTTCCACCCAATTACCCTATTCCCCTACATTTTTACTTCTGAAGCCAGGGATGTCCACAGCTTCTGAGATAGGTACCAGGGCCCCAGGGGGCTTACACAACCACATATAAGTTGGGCACATCTTCCCACAGTATCTATTTTACTAGAATTTATTATTTTTTTAAGGAAACCTATTTTATATAAAAACAAACACAAAGTGGTTTGCAAAGTTTGACCGGAATCGTAAATACTAAATGAGAAACTTAAAAAAAAAGTCTTGCTTGCAGGGCCCACTTTGGCTGTCACCCTCAGACTCAGACTTCTCTGTAGCACTCCGAGAGTGGGGTGTCCAGAGGGACCTGGGAGAAGTGTCACTCCTTGCCACCCCGTAGACTTTCTGAAACTTCCCCTTGAGCTTTTTGTAGCTAATCTGACCCAACAAGAAGAGTTGAAAACATTGCATTATTCAGAGAAGACAAGTAATGACTCTATAGCATCTTACTACGCCAATGGACAGTGATTGCAGGGGTACGGGGTGGACTTGATAATATGGGTGAATGTTGAAACCACAATGTTGCTCATGTGAAATCTTCATAAGAGTATATATCAATGATACCATAATTAAAAAAAAAACACTGCATTACTTTAAGTTGAAGCCTGGAGGTATTGGCGTGTTTAGGCTTTGTCCTGCCCTCTCCTTGATAGCCAGTTTCCTCCATGGGAAGAAGAGGGAAGGGGAGGCTGAGTCTGGGGTGTGGGCTGGCAACCATGTGCATTCTCACCTTGATTCCCCAGGACTCTGCCCGCCTTGGTGTGGCATCGACAGGACTGGACCATACTTCATTCCTACGTGCACCTCAGAGCTGATGAGCTGGAAGCTCTGCAGATGTGCACAGGTAGGCAACACGGTCCCTAGGGGAGGAGAGGCTCCGCTTGGCTAGGGCTCTGCTTTCGTTTGGGGTTTGTGTGTTGGCTTTTGCATGCATTCCACAGGGGAAGCCTGATGATTTATTATTTCTTTGGTAAATGCAACCAATTTTTTTCCCTTAAATTTTTTTTTGAATTTAAAAATATTGTGAGGAGGTACACATAACATAAAATTTACCATCTTAATCATTTGTAAGTGTTTAGTTCAGTGGCATTAAGGGCATTCTTGTTGTGCAAACATCACCAAAATACAACTTATTTTTAACTTGTAAAGTTCTCGTCTTTATAGCTTCCCTATCAGTGATTTGACTTAGACTTTATTTTGAGCCTTTCCATATTTCTCAAAGGAAAAATTTATATTATTTTTAAATGATGTTATTTTACAAGTATAATAATCTGTAATAATATGATTCTGGGAATAATTTAATAATACAGTATTTAGTTTACAGAAATCCTAACTTTGTAGTAACACTTTTTTCTTTTCCTTTATTTACATTTAAAGATATTGTGCCCTTTATACTTTCATGGTCTTAAAAAATCCTTCCGTAAAACGGTAACGATGATGCTAGTTTTTGTTGCTTTCCCAATTATGAAATATTTCTTACACACATAAAACAATATTTAATATTTGTGTAAGTTATAAAAAAATAAAAGGAACACTCATGGGCTCACCAGAGAAGAGAAAGTAGAATATTATTGGGCCTGGGAAGCACTGCATGTGCATTCCTATCCCATTGAACCTTTTTTCCTCACTCCTTTCCTCTAGCCACATACACATGAACACATATCACTAAACAACATAATGTTTAATTTTACTAAGCTAATTTTGTACATATATGGACTCACGATGGATGAATCTTCTGTGGTCGACTTTTCCTTTTTTTTTTTTTGCCTTAAAAACAATATTTTTGTGTGATTCCTCCATGTTCACATGGATGTTTGTAGTCCTGTTCGTTTTCAGAGCTGTATAGAATTCCATTACATGATAAACCATAGTTACTTAATTTCGCCTTTTCTCGTTATTCACTTTTAAAACAGTGCTGCTATAAGCATTCTTATTATGGGTCTCTTGGTGCACATCTGCAAGACATTCTCTAGGGTACACATCGGGGAGTAGATTCTGAGTTACAAGGTATGCAAATCCTCAAGCTGTTGGAGAATGCCATGTTCTCCTCAGAGACTGTGACAATTTACCCTCTCACTAGTAGTGTAGAAGCAGTCCCGTCACTTCATGGCTTCCACAACACTTGGTTATTGTCAAACTTTAAAATGTTTGCCAACTTGGTGGGTGTACAATGGTATTTCACTATGATTTTAATATGCATTTTCCTGATTCCTAATGAGTTTAAGCATATTTCTGTGTTCTTGTCATTTGTGTTTCCTCTTCTGCAAAATAACTTTTACTCATTTTTCTATTTGATTTTTCTTAACAATTCATAGAATTTCTTTATGTATTTAGGATATAAACCCATTGTTGATTATATATGCTTCAAAAATCTGAGTTTGTGGATTTTCTTTTCATTTTCATGGTATCTTTTCATCTACAGGTATCTTCATTTTAATGTGTTAGAATTCATTAGACTTTTATAGTAGTTTTTATATTTGAAGAAAATTTATGGCCCTCAGATAGGAGGATATTCTCCTGTATTTTCTTACAAAAATTTCTTATAAAACATTTTTTTCTTTCCCATTTGAGTCTTTAATCTACCTGAGTTACTTCTTGTGTAGTGTGTGAGTTTGGGGCCTGATTTCATTTCTTCCATTTGGATAGCCACTTGACCCCAGAGCATTTATTGAACAGTGTGGCCTCTTTTCTCCAGTAGCCAGCAGTATTTCTCCCTTGCATCACATTTTCTCACATATTAGTGAGTCTGTGACTGGGTGCTCTGTGGTCAAGTAAAACTTCAGCAGTGATAAATTGATCCTCAAGTTTTTAATTGTACTGCTCTGTGATATCTAAAGTCTGTGAACTGTTATCTTAACACCAATTCAGTAAGTCCACTAATTCTTGAGTTGCCCTGACTCCTTTAGCATTTATCTGAAATTGGGGAAAGATAGGGCTGTGTTGCCATGCTGTCTTTGAGAAACCAGGTGCTTGATTCTGATTTATTTGTTGAAGACAGCGACCCAAAGGGAGAGCAGAGGTCATGAGAATCCTTTCCGCCTCCTGCCTCACCTGTCATTCTTGACCCAGTAACAACCGAAAAGTACGTGCTTTACTCCATCCTTCTTCCTTGACACTGAAGTCTAGTTTTGGAACATTTTGAATTGCGTGAGTTTCTTCAGGCAATTGACAATAATGTTGTCATAATAAATGCCACAGGGTACAGCTAATGTACCCTTCCTACATAAAGCAGTGAAAAGCAGCTGATGAGCTATTAGACTCAGTTTTTTTTATATGTTCACTATCTGATTTCTTTCTACTCCAGTAATGTTGGTTATTTTTGTCATGCAGGTTATATCGCTGGATTTGTAGACTTGGAGGTGAGCAATAGATCAGACCTCTATGATGTATTTGTGAATCTGGCAGAAAGTGAGATTATCATTGCTCCACTTGCAAAAGGTTAGTTCTTTACTCTGTTCTGTTGTTGAATCAAGATGTAAGCCAAGCAATTATATTTCTTAGGCTGATTCTCTAAAACCAATGTTGGAGGGCCTGTATAACCTGCTGTGTTGAAGCTGGAGGGATTTTTCTGGGTCTAGAACATAGCATTTATTCTGGAGCTAGTTTCTTTCAATTTGGTTTTAAAGTCAAAACATAATGCATGTTCATGGTGAAAAATTCAAACTACAGAATCAGATCTTTAGGAGACAACAGGCCTGCCATGTTAGTGATACATTCTGGGTGTATATGCTACATAATATGTGTTAATAAAATAACGTATTCACCTTGTTTCTCCACTTCTCTATTTAAACAGGGTATATTAGTTATCTGTTGCTGCATAACAAATCACTTCTAAACTTAGTGATTTAAAACAACATATTTATTATCTCATAGTTTTGGTATGTCTGGAATTCAAGATCAACTTAGCTGGGAGGTTCTGGCTCTCATGAGGTTTCAGTCAAGGTATTGACAGGGCTACAATCATTGGAGGCCCCACCTCTAAGCTAACTCACATGGCTGTTGGCAGGAGGCCTCACCACATGGGTGACTGTTCTCATGACATGACACGAGTGAGCGATCCAAGAGACAGAGAGGAGACCACAGTGTCTTTCATGACCTAGTCTCAGAGGTCATAAACCCTCACTTCCTCCATATTCTTTTTGTTAGAAGCAAGTCATTAAGTATGTGTAGACTTCCTTTGACAAAGAGTGTGTAGACGTTTATTACTACATAAGGGTTGAACACGACTCCTTTGCCGAAAAGCTTTTCCAAAGATATTTCAGTAAACACAAAGGAGTGAAAGTATTGTTGGAGTTAGTGATGTAGAAAGGGTGTTCTAGGATCATAGTGTTGTCTCTGGCGATTTAAAAGTGTCCTAAATTACAGCTGCTTAAAGTGGTAAAGATTGGGTTAAATACATGCTGAGCTCAGGGCACTACTGAGGTATTGGTTTTAAATGGGCATTACTGATAAGAGTTTTGGCAATGTCGTTTATCTTTCTTCTGAAAGTGGGAGCAGCTGAATACTGGCTCATAAGGGATTTTGGTTAGGTAGATTCTGATTATGTGAGGCTATCTACAACTCCAAATTAATAGAACTGGAGCTAGTTTTCTTTCAATTTGGTTTTAAAGTCTAAACATAATGCATGTTCACGGTGAAAAATTCAAACTACAGAATCAGACCTTTAGGAGACAACTGCTTTTTGTGAAGACAAAGTGATAGAAACCTGACTGTGTCCAGAGCCAGTTAAGGCCCTGAGGTGTTAGAACCAGCAAATGTGGCTATCTCCCTGCCGCCATCTAGTACTCTTGAGTCTATAAAATGGGCTCATCCTAGTCAGCACCATTGGAGGGGAGTTTGGCCCTTGGAGTGACAGACAGAAATTTCTATTAATTTTGCTGCAGGTAGTAGCAATGGCTTCTGCAGGACTGACAGGAAAGTCAGGCTCTTCGCTTAAAATCACAGTTTATCTATAGTTAGAAGTTTTCATTAAGTGTTATGTAGAAAGAAAAGTAAAAATTTGTATCAGGTAGGTGTGGAGAAATTTGGTTCGGTATTGGCGCAGTTTTATCTTGGACATGAAATATATAAATCGTGATTATGCCTTGTCTGCTAACATGCTGTCATATTTGTGTTAAATGATAAAATGGAAATGGGGGAGTCATTAGTTGCATTTTGGAAATTCCCTCTGTATGATCTTTCATGTTTTCAGAGAGATGGCGTGATTATTTTTATTATGTAAACCTCTAAATATTCACAACACTCTTCTTAATCTCAACCAGAAGCCATGACAATGGGCAAACTGCACAAAGAAATTGGTCAGCTAATTGTTCAGTCTGCAGAAGATCCAGAGAAATCAGACAGCCAGGTTATCCAGGTAACTCCCCAATCTTCTAACTTCCTGAGAATCCTGGAAGCATGTCACTGGGTGGCATGTGGCACAGCTGCTCATTGTCTGCTGTTCATGAGAATAGAGTGAAGTGTGGGGACACCAGCGGGCAGATGCTAAGAAGGGGATGGTCCTGGTGAGGAGCAGGTGGGGCTGCCAGGGCAGATAAGTTTTCGGGCCCTGGGGACAAATACACACAAAGCGCTGGTGCTAAAGCCAAGCATTTATAGTGAAAAATGTAACTGCCACGAGGTTTGGAATGCTATTCTGGGCTGGCCAGTGCCTTCTCTCCTCCTAGTAAGAGAAGGTTGCTTCTGAGCTTGGGGAACTAGATAGAACATCTTAATCTACCTTTGATGTATTGCTTCAGGACATTAGTAAGTGTTAGCATCAGACCCTTGCAAAGCTTAGGAGACTCTAGTGTCACAGCCTGCAGGGCTGGCTCCTCTACGGGGTCCACCTGTCAAGCTGACCAGTGTCCATGTGGACCCTGCCGTCCCCTTGCTAGACAGGATGGCAGATAGGTTTTATTCCTGCCTCTCTAGGTGGTGCCAAGCTGCTCCTCTGTACTGCCCCTTGCCTGGTCTCCTCCATGTGTGGCTGCTGTCTGTCTGCTCTAGGCCTGTTCCCAGCTCCTTGCTCTTCTCCTGCAGGGATGCACTTCCAGCCTAGCTGTCCCAGGCCCTCCCTCATCTAGACTCGTCTCACTTCCTGGGGGCCGGAGGCCGGATTGTCTCCCACTGTGTGTACCTTTGCCACCTGGGGGCACCTCTGATAAGCAGGCCCTACTCACCTGGCCAGACCTGGCTCTTCTCTTCACTTCTACATTAATTTACTTAGATAATACTTATTGAGCACTGACTATATGTCAGGCACTGCATGGGGAGCAAAGTTCCTGACCTCATGGCCGGCATTTAGTGGAGTAGGTCAACAGAAAATAATGTAAACAAGGTCATTGTGAGCCATGATAAATGAATGCTGTGACAGAAAGAAGGGGTTGAGGCAGAGAATTTGAGATGAGATCAGACAGCTCTCTGAGGAGGTGACATGTGAGTTGAAGGCTGCTAGGGACCACAGGGTTGGATAGGGACCTGCCACCAGCACTGTTCTTTCTGTTCAGTGCTGGTGGCCTGTCCAGCTGTGGCCAGGAGGGGTGTGGGTCTTGTCCCAAGGGCCTGAACACTGAGACTCCTTTCCTACCGTGTGATCATCATTGCCCATTCATCCCTCTGTCAACATTAGAGTCAAAACAATGGCTCTTTACAATGTTGGTGAAATATGTAAATTTGAGTTTTGAATTTTTGTTTTTCATGGACTAAAAAGTAATACACAATTTATTATTAAAAGTGATACACATTTATTTGGCTCACTATAACATGATAAAAGTGCCTACCATGTTTTAGGGGTTTGAGAATACCTGCATAAATTAATTATGTCAGCATACCAAGAAAAAGACCTGACTTTAATGTTAGCTCCAGTGAGTCTTAAGCCATCCAAAGGAACGTTGGTCATTGAAGAGGAATCAAGCCCACGTGGCAGGTGCTGGGTTGCTTATCCCGGGCAGAAGAGAATTTTGTTCCGAGAACAATAGCAGGGTTCCTCAAAAAGTTAAACATACGATTACTATAGATACAGCAATTCTGCTTGTGGTTGTATGTCAGTAAGAATTAAAGCAGGGACTCAAATAGATATTTGCACATCCATGTTAACAATACTGTTCACAATTGCCAAAAGGTGGAAACAACCCAAATCCATCAATGGATGAATGGATAAACCAAATGTGTTGGGTAGGTGTGTATATACAGTGGAATATTATTCAGCCTTGAAAAGGAGTGAAGTTTAACTTTTGCCATAATATGGATGAACCTTGAAAACATGCTAAATGAAATAAGACACAAAAGGACAAGTATTGTATGATACCACTTATGCGAGGTACCTAGAATGATCAAATTCATAGAGGCAGAATATACAATGGTGGTTACCAGGGGCTGAGAGGGGGATGGGGAGTTATTGTTCAGTGGGTATAGAATTTCAGTTTGGGATGATGGGAAGTTCTGGAAATGGACAGTAGCAATTGTCATACAACACTGAATGTACTTAATGCCACTGAACTGTACACTTAAAAATGGTAAAAAAAAAAAAAAAAGAATG